ACTATAAAAGGCTTAAAGACGTTTATCCGTATTTCCGTTACATAATTGAGGACGAACACGCGTTCGCCACGCGTCGCCATGTGAAAATTCACGAACATTACCTAAATAACTCCTTCCGAAATGCACACTTTTACGCATTATTATTAACTTCACCGACTAACCAAATCGTGACGCTTTAGTTTTGTTTGTAAATTTAAGTGTGAACGCGTGCCCGTGCACACTCATCCAATTGGATGTACTGTGGCCAAGATAATTCATTTATTGGCGTGATGCACGTTTCAAGTGGCTTGTTGAATGTGTTAATTTTGAGTGCAAACCTCAACACCTACTGGATGCAACGTATCGTCTTTAATTACACTATGAAAATAATGCATCTCCGACGACAGTCCTTTTTTTAATCAATTGATAAAAAGTGCAGAACTTATACCGAAAAAAATGCATGGAAAGGAAACATGTGGTTAAAACCGATCTCATCATGAGTGAATGCATCAGTAACATTTTCAAAATGAAAAAACAATCCTAAATACACACACTACACACTTCTTAATGCATACGTTTCAATTTTCAATTATTTGGAATATGGACCGCATGTCATATTTGTGAACGTGTTTTTTTTTTGTTGCTTCATCTAACCACCAGAAGGCAAATACCGAAATTATTTTTTATCAAACTCGATTCAATTAGCTCTGTACAAATGAATATAATTTGATCGCTATTCAGGGGAATTGATGTCCAGAAAAAAGAATACATTTGAATGAAAAATTCAATCGAAAAAAAAGACCACAAATAGAGAGATAAACATTCGAAATGTGTATTTTGTGATGAATTTGAAATTGAATACCGTAAATGAGTAACGATCGTTCAAATAAACCAATTTTTTCAGTTCGCGTTGGAAATAAAATAAATTGAAGCAGAGAAGAAAGAAAAAAACACGACATAAAAGCATCATCACTTGTTGGATAAAAACATTAAAACATCATCATTTATTGACAAAAAGTTTTTTTCATTCCATCGTTGTTGTATCTTGAACCCTCGGCAATTTTCTCTTTGGCAGTTTGCCCGCTGAACCATTTTGAATTTTAATTCGACATTTATTTACCGAATAACAAAACTAAATAAACAAATTATTTGTTTATTAGTCAAATAGCCAACGGCTACTGGCCTGATGGATGGATGAGTGCTATGATAGCTCTCGGCAAGGGTTGAAACTGATTTATTTATTCATCAATTGGCTGGGTATTTTTTGTACGCGTTCAAAAATTTGGTAGGAAAAATCACAAATCGAATATAGATTTGAACTGCATTTTAATTGAAATGTTGGTTCCCTTTCGTTGGCTCTGCGTTTTTTTTCTCGGGATGTTCTTAGAGTTTGGTGAACTCATCTCGTGTGGCAGCTGCATTTTTAGAGCGATGAGATTGCTTAAAGTTTTTTTTCTTTTCGAGCGATGAAGCAGATGATAGTATCATCGTCAAACCAAATGGTTGCATTTTCAAGCATCGTCCTAAATAAATCTCTTTGCATTGCGCGTGCACACACTTATTCACTTTTTATTAATTTACCACATGTATCCAATCAGAATCTTCTTCACAAAAAACAACACCTATCTTATCACCTCGTCCAATGTGCAATTTGGAATGATTAGTCTTAAGTAAGTGATTCAATGAAGTCAACCAAAAAGGCTGATATCAAAAGTGTTACCGGCACGTGCCGAACCAACGCTGAGCATGAGAACAACAATTGTTCGAGAAGATTCGTTGCAAAATAGTGAAATACTGTCAAGTAGAGGCAACGGTGGTGGTTATAATAACAAAACCGATATAAATACCCGCGCGTGTCTTCAATCATGGGCTAATCGATTTACATTCTCCAAAACTTGAAACGAAATTTTCAATTGCAATGAAACCATTTCACACAGGATTATTCATTACATCCAATTCGTTTCGTGTGCAATCCCGTTTCGGAACAAACGCGAGAAACCAGCTAATCTGCATAAAAAAAGGTATCGGAAGTGTTTTTCTTTTTTCAAGCAACCGTTGAATTGAACCTCCGTACTATTGAATTGGAAATGTTCCAGGACATTTCAAGAGGAAATGATTCAAAATTTCAAGGAAGAAAAAAAAATCGGTGGAAATTTTCCACGCTTTTTCTACTGTCGGCTTACTTTCGACTTGTGACAGCATGGATTTGACCGTGTGAGTTTTTTTCTTTCCTTCTGTCGCTCACCGGTCGCATTTTATTCAAATAATCGTTAGCTGCCTATCTAGGTACTTAACCGCAAAAGTAAACATTAAAATGCGTGAAATTTGGTATTAATTTGTAATTCGGCACAGACACACATACATACGGCACCGCATCATAATTGAATGCACTACAGAGAGCGTATGATGAACCAGTACCGCACTGTGCCTGTAGAGAAACAAAACCGAACGACATACAAAGCTAATAAAAAGGGATCTATCGACTCCGTTTTTCCCTCTCTTTCGCTCTCGCACAGCCACTATTCGGTGGTGGCGCACAATTTTACGCATATCAATCGCCTCTATTCATGTTCGCTTCACGAAACGTTCTCGATGCCAAACGGAGGAAGAAAGAGAGAAAGAAAGAAAGGACCGAATTACATGAGGCCAAGTGGCTTGACTACTGCACTATGCTTTGATGGAAATAAAACGAAATAACAAATTGAAAAATGAATTCAAACGAGATGTGTAAATATGATGTGCGACGACGACGACGATGACGACAATCTTTCTGCTATTTGATGTCCAAAGGGGGATGAAAATGAAGCTGCTGCAAATGCTAGCGAGTGTAAATGGATTGCATAAACGTTGGCTAACAAATGAATAAATAAAAATGAAGAAAATCCATGAATTCGTCATTGAATTTGGTCGCTGTCAGTGTCACATTTTTGTACGTTGCACTTTCACTTCGGTATTTGACTTGTTGTTCAACAAATAATTTAGCGGCTCATTTGTTTGCTTTTACCGTATGCATTTTCGCATTTCAGCCTGATTCATATGATCGCAAATAGCCACACGACAAATCTGTCAAATGCAAGCGAACGAATTTTGCTTTGGGTTTTCATTTGCTTTCCATCGATATTCTTGCTGTTGCTTTTTTCTGTATTTTCTACAAATTTCGGGAAATGATTGAACACCCCAATTTTCGATGTGTGTGTGTTTGTACGGAGAGTTATTCGCTACGCTTGTACAAATCCCAATTTATATGTTTGTACAACGCGCTTTCACATATGCATTCATTGAATTTTCATTTGATTGGTTTATTAGGTAAATACCGGAATAAGGCGGTGGCATTTTACTAATATTTATTATAAATATTGATATAAATATGATTTGATTTGTTTGCCATCGAATAACGCCATTGACGAGAGAGAGAGAGAGCGAGAGCTAATTCTCCGATTTGGCAGATGTTGTGAGTGAATCGACACAGATTTACCCACACGGTGAAATGGAAGGCGATTAAAGCGAAGAAATTTTTAAAAATTTAAATGACCATTTCGAATAGGAAACACGCATAAATGCAACGCGTGTCACAGAAGTAAAATTACTTTCATTACGCATAACGCAAATTATTGATTTGTATTAAAAAAAAACTGTTTCAGTTCAACGAAGCTAAAACGGATTTACGTTAATTGTGGAGCAGAATCGCAGCTAATTGATTAACCGACACATATCGATCAAATGAATATGTTCCTTAGATGCTTATCAATTTGATGTTTGAACAAGCGTCAACATCGCTCATTTCTTTTTTTGGAGTACAAATTGAAATCGTTATGCATCGTTAACCATTGGCCATATGTGTATAATTAAACACAGGAAATAATACATAATTAATAGGCATTGGACTTTCATTTTTTATATTTACTATGAATTATTACATCAGCGAGTTTTGTTTACGTTTCTCAATTGGATTTCCATTTCGAGATTTCCCACAAATTTCGATTCAGTTAGGTTTTCTCACCTTTGATTCGTTGAATTTTTTTTTTTGTCTAAATATTCTCATGTGAATACACAAGTTAATAAATTATGGAAATTTGTTTATATATCAGAACCATAAGCGCCAGACGATATGACTCGATCTTTAAAAAAGAGAAAAATTTTAAATTAAAAATGTTTTGAGTGTGAACAAAAACAGCACAATATTTTCAGTTTTTTAAGTGAAACGTTTCTTCATGCATATTTAGTGCGTATTTCACTTTAGAAAAATTAAATATTTTGTGCTGTTTTTGTCCTCCAACAAAATTTTCCATTAGAAAATGTGTCTTTACATCAAATTTGATTTTGAGTTACCGTCTATTGTACGCAAAGTAGACGACCATTCACATTCATCGAGAAAAACTACACTAGCTTCATTCAATAAAGATTCAGAAGAATAAAGTATATATTTTCAAAATCGGGCTATGAATCATGGCATAGTATATCGTTGACTGTGTCATCCGGGAAAAATAAATGAGATTTCGACACTTTATAAGAATGTGTTATTGTGTGATTTTATGCACATTAAATCGACGTGTTCGTGTGGAATAAATCGACTGATGTCAAGCTGCGACGATTGGTGACCGCAAATAATGCGGATAGTGTATTCAATGAATGGTGTTTTATTGCAGTCTTGTCTATTGTAAACAATGTATTTAATCCGTTGGAACAGAGACGTAAAACGATGACACTAATTTATTGAAGAGCATTCAACGGAAATGTTTTCCCATTCGACAAAAATGATTTTAGTGTAAAATTCACGATTTTCTTTTCAAAAATGTCTGTTATGTGTATTCCAAACAGAATATTGCCCATCAGAAATCCGTTTGAAACAAACGATTCGATATTGAATTGGAAGTTCATGTGTTTTCGGTGTCGCCATCTGTTGGAAATGCTTGTCAAACGTTGTCAGCCGTACTTTTTGTGTTCACGATGAGCGAAAAGCACGAAAATCAATACATTTGTCAAAATAGTGTGTATTCAATGCTTGAATGTTCAACATCACAATGATGAAAATGTGATACCGAAACATCTGATAAACGAGAATTCGTTATTAATGTTTGATTGGTGTGATCTGGTTGTTATCAGCAGAAGAGTTTCCTAGTAACACCCATAGTTTATGTTATCAAAATTTACGTCAGTCTTCCAGTGAGTAGTAAATTAACTTACATAATTTGTTTGTGTGATAAAAAAAAGAGAAGAGAATGTGCCCTTTTGTACTGATACTGATATGTGCTCACTGCTCATACACATTTTTAACCGACAATAAACATTGACAATCGTATGAACTTCAATTGAATAAACGTTGATGCGATTCTCTGTGATGATAAAAAAAAAATTGATAAATTCTTACTACACACACAATAAGTTTCTCAAAACAATCTTGTCACAGCCAATTGACCTTGTATGGTGACTCTTCAATTGATTGTATCATTCTAATTCCAAATGACGGCATTTAAACATTGTTGAAGCTGAAGAAGTACTCCATTTAGTATGGTCATTAAATACGTCAATTAGCTTGAAGTACTTCATTTAGTATGGTCATTAAATTCGTCAATTAGCTTCAACAATGTTTGTCAACAATTTGGAATTTAAATGATACAATCAATTGAAGAGTCACCAGACAAAGTCAATTTACGATAATATATGCTTTGCATGATAATATTCAGTCTGGGATTAGACGGTGAAATAAACAATAATAATCAATTTATCAGTAATAAGAATTTATCAATTTTGTTTTATCTGGTTTTATCATCACAGAGAATCGCATCATCGTTTATTCAATTGAAGTTCATACGATTGTCAATGTTTATTATCGGTTAAAAATAGACGAAAATGTTGACATTTTTCAAATCAACGGGGATAAAATCATGTGCACTGTTCTTATCATAGATTCATCATATCTCAAGGCCGCTAAACTGATGGTAGTTTATTTGCTTCTTTTGTTTCAGTATCAAGTGCTATTCGCAGCGAGCGGGTGTGTTTAAAATGAGCAGCAATTGCAATTCACATACAATATTGCCAAATCGGCGCGTTTTAGCTATTCAAAGTCATGTTGTACATGGATATGTCGGCAATAAAAGTGCAACGTTTCCACTTCAGGTTTGAATCGTTTTCTTTTTTCTTAGTCACAATTCAAATGGGCTGGATGTAGTTCAACCACTGATATTTATTATGGTTTATTCTATTTTCAACGGATACAGGTCTTAGGTTTTGACGTTGATGCAATCAACTCAGTGCATTTTTCTAACCATACTGGCTACAAACATGTCAAAGGACAAGTATTAAGTGATAAGGAACTGAGTGAGTAAATTGTTTTCTCTTCAATTTGAACAAAGCCTATTCTTTTATGTATGAACGTTGATTCAAAACCGGTTGACATTTCTATTTTGAACACAGACGATGTTTTCAGTGGACTTCAGCAAAATGGATTGCTCAGTACTTATTCACATTTGTTAACCGGTTACATTGGTAAGGATTCATTTTTAACCGAAGTTGGTTCCATCGTCAAAGCCATCCGAGAGGTTAATCCGAATTTTGTATACGGTTCGTAATTAAAACAATAAATTCTAATATTTACTATTATTTTTCAAGTGATAATTTTGGTTGTTGTTTACCACTTTGTAGTGTGCGATCCAGTGTTGGGTGATAATGGCCATTTGTACGTACCAGAGAGTTTAATTCCAATATACCAAGATTATATTTTACCATTGAGCGACATTTGTACGCCAAATCAATTCGAAGCGGAATTATTGACGGGGATAAAAATAAATTCGGATGCAGATGCATGGAAAGCCACCGAATGGTTACACGAGAAGGGCGTTAAAACCGTAGTTATATCGTCCACCAATTTCGCGAAAAATAGCGAATTGATTGGATTTTTGAGCCAGAAAAACGGTAAGCAACGAACATAAAAAATGGATAGAAAAATAGAATTCATCTGAGAAGATTTACAAACATCATTCCATGGTCAATGGTCATTCAACATAGTATTCAATTTGTTTAAATTTACTTTTATTGTAGGCAATGCCAAGTCACGGCATACCATATTTATTCCAAACATCGGCAGTGATATCGTATTCACTGGTGTTGGTGACTTATTTGCAGCCCTATTCTTAGCTCATTCCACCACAAAACCGAATCTATCCGAAGCACTTGAGTATACTGTGGCCACACTGCAAGCGGTGTTGAGGAACACACTCAAAGCATTACCAAGCGGTATGATCCCAATGAAATATTACACTTTGCACACATTTGTTCATGTGGTTGCTTTCGTTTTTTTTACTCGACAGATCTCGGTGGCAAAAAACCAACAGCACAACAACGAGAATTGAAATTAATTCAAAGCAAAACTGACATCGAAAACCCAACAGTATCGATTCGAGCAAATAAAGTTCAGTAAACTTTGACAGCGATGGCAAGCAACAAACGGACCTGTACATTAAAATCGATCATTGACAATAAAAAGACTGTGTGCACATTACAATGTTTTTTTTCTTTCGCTTTCGTTGTGTGAAGGGATGTTCAAAGAAGAGACACGTTTCTCACAGCCATATCCGTTCTCTTCTCATGGCGCTTTTATTCAATAATAATTTATTCAATATTCAAAATTAGATGTCTATTGTGAATGCAAATAAAAGAAATTTAGAACCAACGTTTTTCATTTTGTATTTTTTTCCCTCAATTAACGGCTTTTTGTTCTCTAATTGAACAGAAGCAACGGTTCGCTTGAAAAAAACACATCTTTCTGATTTTGATTTAAAAAATTTTAAAAATCGTTCTTCGCCGTTTGCCGCAAGTAATACTTGAATTTCCAAATTCTTGAAGCAATTTTGGAAATTAAATTTCAATTAAAAAAATAAATTGTTGGCTTTAGTTTCGTCTATTTTGAAAGAATAAAAAACACAAGTAAGTAGTGAGCTTCGTCGAGTTTTATTAGATATTTGATAAAAATTGGCAATTTGCAAAAGATTTTCGTTAAATAAAAAATGTACGTGCTTTCGCAGAGATTTTTTTCATTTCACTAGGACCGAATTTTCAATGAGAAAAACTAAAATTTAAGATGATAATATCGAATTCTTGTTTCTAACTTATCACACGTGCTAAATAATTTTTTTTTCTTCTTTTTATAAAAACTTATGCTTATTCTTCTTCGTTAATCTAGATATTGATCGACAAATATTTCGGTTGTATAACTGAACAGTGAACGTACATCATGCTTTTGAATCGTCATATTAATTGGTGTACACATTCAAAGCATAAATCCATGTATCTTTCTTTAATGATATTTTTACAATGACAATGATGATTTAGAAAAAACAATAGTTTACATATCGAACACTAAATCTATGGGCAGACTGAAGTGATGCATGTTCAGATAAACATTGCTTAAAATTTTTTATACAATTCGAATTACTAACATTCAACGCCATTACGGTAGTCATTTCTTGGGGAATGTTCTGAACCGATTGATAGCATCATCTTTTGCTCGCTTGGCCAGAATGTCGTTTGGCTTTAATTTCGGTCGAATGCCGTCTAAGAAAAATAGAAGAAACCAAATCATTAAATATCTTTTCAATTTCGGGTGTTTTTTTTTGTAAATCTCAATTCAATTGTTCTTGTTTCAAGTATGGTGTGTGAAGAACAAAATGTTCAACCGAATCAATTAGCTAAACTCACATTTGTTGTTTGGATCGACTGCACCACTTCTTGGGCTTCGTCGAATCTTCAATGGCGTTCGTTTGTTCTCCTTTTCTCGATGCGGTGTGATCATTGTGGATTTAACTTTGGCGACGGTTTTTGTCATGGGTTTCGGTACAACGAATGCTTTGCGTACATTTGGGTTGCTTTCTTTCAATGCGCGCACTTGAGCACCACCTTTAATCGACACGGAATTGACTTTAGGTTTAATGGCAAATGTTGCATTCATATTACCATTATCCAAATTTAAGTCATCGTGTGTTCCCAACACTTGTGTCGCATCAAGGTTTTGGCCATCGAAAATCGATCGTACGACGCGTTTTTTCGTTGGAATCTCGTCGTTATCATCGCCACACTGGTCTCTGGTTCGTTTGTTTGTGTACACGACTGTGTCATCATCATCTTTTGCCATCATCAAGGGATCGGTGTCGAATAGGAAATCGTTTTGATTCCGTTGTTCGGATATTTCGAATATCTCGTCCGATTCCGTAAACTTAACACCGCGTTGATCATGAATTTTATACAAATGATTGAATCGTTCGCGCATTTCTTCGGTGATCAACATATTTCCATTCAACACGCAATAGGCTTCTTGCAAAATTTCATGACTCAATTCGATGATTTTGCGTGATTTTTCCGCCTCTTGATTATAGAATTGCAAGACTTTCATCGTGTGCTCAGATTTCAATTGCATGTCAACATTCTTTTGTTCGCCCTCTTTGTGATCCAGATAGGTTTCCAAGATTGGATTATTCTGAAAGCGAGAAACGTTCAATATTAATTTGGATGACAACAAATTACCAAAACAAAATTCTTCGAGTCAAAAATCACTTACCAAACTGGCAATCTCAATCTGTAGCTCGGCCAATTGGGTTTTGCTTGCCTTGAAGCGGCACATCCAACGATCCTTGTCGATTCGGAATACTTCGATTTGTTTGCTGAATTTACCAATCGATGCTTCAACGCGAGCAAGGTCCTGCAAATTCCAGAGAAAAATCATTGGTTTAAATTGAAACCGTAAAAGTTCAACAAAAATTCTAGAAGAAGATAGGATAAGCTAGTATAAACTAAAGCAATTTAATCAAAAAAAATTAAAAATTCAACGAAAAATGTAGAAAAAAATGAAGAAAAATCAAAGTGAGTCAATTTTGTTCATAAGCCGCTGGTCATGTGTTAAATCAATCTGGCGCTTGCTGTAGGTTCATCCGCGTGCCGCTAGGTGGCTGAACGCGTTTCAATTGACTTTGACACTTTGGTTATACATATTAAAAGTATACCCAGTAAGTAAATGTAGTCGAAAATAGCAAAATTCTTGTGAATTTGTTGTGTACATGAGAAAAATTCCGATATCATGTTGCCACTACGTTCAATCTCAATGTGGCTTCCGACATTGAGAAGCATCGCTGTTCGAAATTCAGCTAAAGTCCTTCCAAAGCAGTACAAATTTAGTGAAAACAATGTGGCTGTCGCAGCAACCACAACAACATTTCAGTACGATAGTGTACGTCACTATGCCAAAGGAAAACAGAAGGAGAAAGCACGCAATAAAGGTGTAAAATTTGCGACATATAAATTGCCCGAAGATCAACTGAACGAGATTATAAATGTGGATGCATATCGAAATAAATTGGAAAAGGCGCTCGAAGTATTGCAAGCGGATTATATAAAGCATTTGTCACTGCGATCGACGACCGGATCAATTGAGACGGTCAAAGTTAAAGTTGATGGAGAAGAGCACGAATTGCAGGATATTGCTCAGGTCATTCGGAATAATCCGAAAACGATTGTGATCGACATGATTGCATTTCCACAGTTCATACAAGCTGCTCTACAGGCGCTACAAAAGAGCGGTCTCAACATAAATCCACAACAAGAAAACACAACTATTTATATCCCCGTGCCGAAGGTGACGAAAGAGCATCGTGTTACATTAGCAAAAAATGCAAAGGCCTTGTTCATCAAGGGTCGTGATCAAATCAAGGCTGCACAAAACGAAGTGATTCGAAAGGTGAAGAATAACACAACCATTTCGGAGGATGATAATCATGCGGTGCAAGGTCAACTAACCGAAATTGCCAATGAATACGTTTCAAAAGCGGAAAAGATCTTCGAAACGAAACAAAATGAACTGCTAAACAACTGAATCTGAACTCACCTAATTTTTTTTTCTCATTCAATCAGTTAGTCAGTGGTCGAGTAAGATTTGATATCTTATCGACTTGTTGGAATTATTGTTATGATTTTTCAAAGAAATTGAATCGATTAAACTAAACTAAAAAATGGCAAATGGTTTTCATTTCTTCTTACTCGTTTCATGCATTCACTGTCTATGCTGAAGATTTTGCGACTTTTTTCGGTGCTTTCCTTGAATTTTGTGCGTAACTTGAGTAGCTTCTCTTTGCTTGACATCATGTAGTAGTTCTCTTGAGCGGTACGGATGTCATTGTAGATTTTGTCGATCTTTTGTTTCCAGGTTTCGGCTTGAGCTTTGTACCTGGCAATCACCTCCTCTGGATTCAGGTTGTTGTTCATGCTGGCGCATCGATCGGCGTGAATTTGGGCTTGCAGTGCCTTAATGCATTTCTGTAGCTCTTCCACCTCATGTGTTTTATCGGTCAATTTGTTCACATAATACTCTTTCGGCAAATTCGACTTGAAAAGATTCTTTGTGATGGTCGTTGTGCGAATTTTCTGAGCTCTAATCGGATTAATAAGACAGAGAGAGAGAGAGAGAGAGAGAGAGAGGAAAGCAATTAGCATCCCGAAACAAAAACAAAGACAATGAGGTGAACAAGTGCCATTGTTGTGGTTGTTTCACCGGCAATAAGCCGAAAGATGAGAATTAGCATGAAAATGGGATTAAATCGTATTTCTCACCTGCTGGCATATTTGAGGGTGTTGTATGTGTCTTCGTATGTAATTGACGATGGTGAAATGTTTGCAATCATCACCGTTCGACAATTGCCACCGAGACTGTCTTTCAATATGCGCGTCATATTGGAGTCTCGATACGGAATATGTTTCGAACCATCGGCCAATTTATTGATACAATTGCCGAGTGCCAACAATGATTTATTGATGCTGGCGCCTTCTTTGAACCGTTGACCAATGCATTTTGTACTGGAGCCACGTTCACTGCCAGCCAAATCGATCATCGACAATTTGACCGTTCGTTTCTGGTTACTGACTTTGTTCGTCATTCGGATGTGCACTTGAAATATGGCATGGCTGCGGCTACTCTCTGTAAACAATACCAAACATTATGAATTAGCACTTGATTCGACTTCAAATTCCCTGAAAATCGGTTGGAAAAATATCAAACCACATACCAGCATTGGCATCAGTTGGATGCTGTGTGCGATTGCGATTTCCCAATGCAAGTAGCGATAGCAATTCATCGGCATCGAAGATCGGTTTCAATTCCAAACCGCCGACGGTAACACCATTCGAATCTTCGCGCAATTTCAATGGGCCACGTTTTGTTAGCAAATTCATCACTTGTTCATTGTACACCTCCAAATATGAAATGCCAATGTCGAATTTACGCTCTTCACTGTTTGCTTTGATCTGTTCGAAAAGTTCTTTCATCGTCAAATATGCGATGCCCGGAATGTCATCACTGCCAAGCATTGTGAATGTTTTGCCCGCCCCAGTGGCGCCATACACAAATGCCGAACAATTGTAGCCTTCCATCACGGATGATACCAGTGGTCGCATTGCAAACATGTAAATATCCCGATTGGATGCCTGGTTATCAAACACCTGATCGAATGTCATCGTTAAATTTTTGCTCACACGTTTCGTAATATCGCGATGCGTTTGTTTTGCACCATGGAAGAAGAACTCATCGTCATCCTCGTCTGGATCAAAAATGATTGTGTTTGTGTCTGCAACGCGAACAATGTTCCGTTGATTTTGTTCCATTTCGCTGCGACTGAATGGGCGCACTCGCAGCACCACTTGCATATTACGACTCGTCTTGTCGTTTGTCATCGTTTATGTTTACTGTTCGTGTCGAATGGAGAGTGAAAAAAAAGAAAGGAAAAAAAAAATTACAAAATTTTTACAACAACTGAAATTTTTTCTATGACATTTGACATTGCATAGTAATTGTACGATTTAAACTGAACTAAGAATTGTCACATTTGAATTTTTCAGTCAAGCAAACACAGTATCACATAACGGGAAACCGTTGTTGTGTGGCTCAATAGAATGCCATTTTTCACACAACATTAAAAAAACATAGTGACGATTTAATGATGTTTAATTGTCAACTTTGCTCCAATGTTTTCGTACCTTTTTATAATTAACACCAGATTATTTCCGTTCACCGCACATGTATCGTGCACACGCTACACTTGAATAATGAATTTTCGTTATTTATTTATGGAAACAACACATCCGAAATTTATCCAAACAAAAACAGTAAGTGCTAGCTTGCATCTATCGTGCGACTATGCTATGACCGTTTGTTAGTCATTATTGATGGCTTTTTAAATTTTCGAATATTTCATACTTTTCGGTTGGCACCACACGATGTAGCATTATCGCAACGGAAAACCATTCTACTATGCATTCGCCTCTGCCGTTCCATTTATGTATACCTGCACATGCATGCATGCAGTACTACCAACCACAAACACACTCTGTTGCTTCGTTTAAGTCTCGTTTCGGTTACGATGGAGAAACAAGTTAGAAAACATATTTTTGACGAATAAAAACCACATTAAAAACAATATTTTTTTATTTGATTTTTCAATTATTTCATTAAATACAAATGAAATTCAATTCCAACGATTGAATTTATTTGCAACAGCAAAAGTCATGCAATTTCATCATTTTCTTCATTCATCATACTCAATATGACACAAACAACTGTCTTGAGTACGATTTTCGTGTACTTTGCCGTGTCGGCTTTTAAAAAGTACATTTGATGTTAGTCATTCCAACTTTTTCGACGATAAACAATACAAACTGAAGAGTGCTATTCTTAGAAGACATTGGTTTTCAATTTCGTTTTTCAATTATTAGATTTTGTTTAGATTCTATAGTAGGTACATAGGGATATTTTCCAAATCATAGTCAAAATGGATGTGTCATCGTCACCGTCGTCCGATCAATTTGGCCGTAGATGGACACATGTTCGAAAAATGTTGGAACGTTCTGGTCCATTTTGCCAGCCGGAATTCACACCATCGTTGGATGGTCTTGAATTTATCATGAAAACATGTAAGATTTTGGTGATCGGGGCTGGCGGATTGGGCTGTGAACTACTCAAAGATTTGGCATTGATGGGTTTTTGCGATATTCATGTCATCGACATGGATACAATTGATCTGTCAAACTTGAATCGTCAATTTTTGTTTCGGCGCAACGATGTTGGCAATTCAAAGGCCAATTGTGCTGCAAAATTTATCAATGAAAGGTAAATTTCGAATTCGTATTGAATCACAGAGAAGAGAAATATTTTTCGATTTTTTAATCCATGCATTAAATTCATTCGAATCAAACTAGAATACCGTCGTGCAATGTAACGCCGCATTTTTGCAAAATCCAAGATTTTGATCAAGATTTCTATCGGAAATTCCATATTGTGGTGTGCGGTTTGGATTCGTTGATGGCGCGCCGATGGATCAATGGTATGATTACATCGTTGTTGGTTTATGAGGATGACGGCAGTCTCGATCAATCGTCACTCATTCCGATCATTGATGGTGGTACCGAGGGATTCAAAGGTAGTGCTCGTGTCATTTTGCCCGGTGTCACTGCGTGCGTTGAATGCACGTTGGAATTGTATCCGCCACAAATCACATACCCATTGTGTACCATCGCCAATACACCACGGTGAATTGTTTTTTCCTTTTTTTTGTATTTTTCCAATGATTCACATTGAACTAACGGATTTTTGCCTCATATTTTTTTTAAAGGTTGCCAGAGCATTGCATCGAATACGTCAAATTGATTCAATGGGAAAAGGAGAATCCATTCGATAGTGAATTGGATGGTGATGATCCACAGCATGTGTCATGGGTTTATGAAAAGGCACAAGAGCGTGCCAGCACATTTAACATTACTGGTCTTTCATATCGTTTGGTTCAAGGTGTTCTCAAGCACATAATTCCGGCCGTTGCCAGCACCAATGCAATTGTTGCCGCAAGCTGTGTCACCGAAGTCTTCAAAATCGCCACCAGCTGCTATCAATACTACAACAACTGTTTGCTGTTCAACGACATCGACGGAATCTACACGTACATTTACGAAGTGGAAAAGAAGGAAGACTGTCTGAATTGCTCGAATATTCCGGTGACAGTGACATTCGAATCAGCTGATTCGGTCACATTGGAAAAAGTGATTGAATTTCTGTGCAATGATGCTGCCTTCCAAATGAAGAGCCCGGGTAAATATTTTCTTTTTAATTAAGAAGTTAAAATCAAGCGAAAAAGCGAAATTTAAATTGTATCATTTGTACAGGAATAACGATGAATCTTGATGGTAAGAACAAAACGCTGTACATTTCAACGGTGAAAAGTATCGAAGAACGAACCCGACCAAACCTGAAGCTAACGCTCCAAGAGCTCAACGTGCAAAATGGCCAAGAGCTGACGGTTGCCGATCAAACCAATCCAAACTCCGTCACAATTCGTATCAAATACTCAAGCGGAGCTTGAATTCACAAACAAACGTATACACAATATCACTCCAAACTCAACAAAGTTGATTAGAACTGCAATTAAACTTCCCAGGAGATTAATCAAACATACACACACAACTCCCACAAATCCTTGAATTCAATTCATAACTACCGACATTTTTGTATCCAACATCGTAGAGAGAGAAAAAATAAAGTGATATAAATAAAAAAAAACTATTGCGAAATAATAAAGAAGTTGAAAGTAAATTTATTTATTCATTTTGCTTACGAAATTCTCTCTTCTTTTTTGTTGTGTACAAGGTTTGAGTCATTTAAAATTACAGGGATGTGATCCATAATTCACAATTTAAATGCGAAAAAAGTGTTGATTTTATTCGCATTTCTTTTTCAAGATAATTTCTTCAATTTTGATAAATTTTTATTTTTTAATCGACAATTTTGGGAAATTTTTGTTTAATTTGTTGTCGGTTTCAATTTCGTTGTGTAGTTTTAAATGCTCGGGAAAATCACCACGTTTTAATACTTGCCGACATCGATCGCACACTTGAATCGAATTGTGCAATTCGTTCGATTTGGCTTGGCTGTGTTTCTCGAGATAGGTTTGATAGAGTTCCTGCCCGGTGGGAAATGGAATAAAGACTTAGCATTTTCTATTTGATGTGTGATTCAATAGTTTGATTCATCGAATGGATAGAATTTACCTGTTGTTTGTTAATATCTGGTAGTAGAGCGAGCAGTTCGGGGAAGATGCTCTCGAAGCGATCTCCCAAAACAGCCTCACAGTGCTCATAATAGGCGCTTGCATTGCATAACCCACTTCGGAATAGTTTTGATAAGTTACGGAATTCATCGACTGCTGGCGCTTTCAGCGATTTCATGAAGTGACTAACTAAAATCTGGAGAAAAAAAACCATTAAAGTCAAGTGTCACTTATTGTGCGGTTAAGGTGAATCAATCGGGCTTACTTGATTCCGTTGCAGGGCATTCTTGGGTGACATGTACGATTTGGGTTTCGAATCTTTCGATAAGCTTTCAAATCCGGGCGGTACGGATGTGCTCTTCTCATTCTTTTTGGCAGGGAAACCGGGTGGTGGCATTGTAAAATGTGCAACCGATGAATACGAGTTGACGCCAGTTCCATTCGATGTGGTGCCACTCCCGTTTTGTTCGGCCGGGCTAGAGTCAATCATCGCTTTCTTTTCGCTTTTATTTCCGTTATTGTTTTTTTCTTTCGTTTTCTTTGCATTGTCATCGGACTTTTTTGCCTTCTCCTTTTCGGCCTTTTTACCATTCCCATTTTCCGTTTTGTTCGCATCTTTCTTTTTATCATTTTGATTTGGTTTTGATTGTTCACTTGATTTGGCCTTTTTATTTGAATCCACGTCTTTTTTATTGGTTTCATTGAATTTGATGGTTGGCAGAATTGGTGCTGGTGCTACCTTGAGCTTCTTACTCATTTGCGGTTGTTTGCCATTTGTACCATTCAACCATTGCGGAGCGGACGATGATGACGATGCACCACCGCCAAGAGCCGGGAAATTTTCCTTCGAATTCATCGATGGCACATAGTCTAGTTGCACGGCTTGTGGTTTTGTCTCCACTCGTTGAATGGTTTTTATCTTTTGATTTGCTAGCATATTAGCGGCCGAACTTGATGTATCGTACGCTTGAACCAATGTTTTATGCTTTGCCGACACCGCCGACAAGTTGAACGATAATGGTGTTTCAATCATATCACTTTCAAGATTGGCTCGTTTACTTGACGATACGCTAAGTGCTGGAAAATCGTGTGGTTTAATTGGTGCCGCCGATTTGGCTTTGTTTGACGCATTTTTATTCGATGCATTATTGGCGGTCGCCGTTTTGGCTGGCATTTTAAATAGCAGCGTACTAGCATTTGCCGTTACACTTGGCGGTTTAAAGGGCTCTCTAGCGCTACCACCACCGCCTAAGGCAGGGAAATTTTCTTTCGTTCTTGCAAGACCACTGCTCGACGGTCGCATATTTAACGTTACTGTTGGACGTATATTGATTGGTGGATTTCCTAGTGACGGAAATTCTTGCTCGTTTCGCGCATCGATTATTCTACGCGTTGGATTGGTAGTGGTTGTTGTTGCGGTAGTTGACGTTTCCTGTACAGTTTGGCCGGCGCCTTGATTCTCTTGATGCTGATTTGCGCGACCGCGTGGCGCTAAATTAAATTGAAATTCAATTGTTCTCGCCTGCTTCGATGTTTGGCCATGTACATTGGCCTTGTGTGCTGAATGGTGCAAAAATTCGGAAAATAAATCAATTAAAATCGTCGAAGATTTTGACTTTAATTAACACGTTGACCGCCTTAAAATTGATGCTCACCTTTGAGATCGATGTCTGAACGAAAAACAGCCGAGAAAATGTTTTCTTTACAATCTCCTTCTTCACACAAAAAGTGCTGATCGTTAAAATGGTCGCGTAGACCCGTATGGTCCCTGTACGTATTAAATTAACAGCAGTCAGTTACGACACAGTAAACATGGCGACACAATCAACTGAATAAATATTTCAAATGTGAATGGGATAATTACGCATAAAAATGATTTGAACCGTCCGCATCGCAAAAATGACAGAAATAATGCTCTTTTCGTAAGTGCCGGAACAGCTCATCTCGGTCTAAATAGCGTTCGTCACAGAATTCGCACAGCGGATGGCCACGATGTGATTTATTGTCTGGATCACCTTTCCTCCTGTGCATCGCCAGCTGCTCTCTCGTATACGCACGACGTTCGAACGAGAAAATCTGTTCCAAGGAAAATCATAAGCATCACATCGATTCATTGTGCCTGTTGCGATGTTTGCATTGAAAAAAAAAACTACCTTCAAATGTTGCATGCAAATATCACAATAAAAAAGTTCATGTTTCTTCCGAAGATGGTCTTTTAGATCGGCGGCAGTATCGAATGCTCCCGTATTACACCTAAAATATAAACGAAGCATGTCAATTGAAATAGCACTAACACTTCAAACGAAGCACATTGTTTGTATTTACTCACTTATTGCATGTGTGTTCGAGGAGTCGACGGAACGCATTTTGGGCGCGTTGACCAGTGAAACAGATTCGAAATTGTTTATCATAAAGGCACGATCGATTCTTTTGGTCGAGTTCTTTGTATGGTAGAATTTCAGATGTGAATATAACCTGTTTGTTTAATTCAAAAGTGAAAGTTGCGATGAGACAAAGTTTGGGCCATTAAAATTCAATTAGTATATTGTACCTTTTGATTAATCCGTCGACAAATGGGGCATTCATTTTGCTTGCACAGAACTCGCATTCCTGCAACGAAAAACACACACACAGAACTTTTTTGTACTGAATTTATATAAACATTGCTATTCCGATCGGGAAAAAATAACAACACGAAACATAGAGGAAACTTTGATACAAGTTTTGTCAATTTGTGTGTGCATACTTGTTGAACATTCATAACAGACGGGATGATCACATTCACCAATGGAAAATATATCAACAATTTTGAAGCAAACGACACACGTTTTGTCACTTTCACTCGCATGAACGGCAACGATTGGTGATGACTCCTCCGATGGTGACTTGGATGTCGTTGAATTATTAGCATCAGATGACGACATTCTCTGTAACCGACAAATCAAACAAAATTACAAACAAAATCATTCAATCACGATGGCATTTGTATGGCATACGTAAGGTCGTGATAATGATAAGATTTTGGCTTACCCTCTTTCTATCTTTTTATTGTATTTGATTTAACTAAATTTCTATATGAATTAATTCAGATAGCTGCTTAAATTGACTCTACTCTTTTAGAAAATGCTGATGTGAAAAAATGTTTCTTTGAAAAATTTGCTTTGCTGTGTGAAAAATGAACGATGAGAAGAGGGCAAAGAAAAAAATAGTCGCTGAAACGAGCTGTTTCGTATCGAAAGGTTTCACGTATCGAACATAAACTTTTCTAAGTTACACATATACAGAGCACATTTTGACACACTGTCCACATTTGATATTTTTTTTTAACACTTGTACTTTGGCATTTCGCTATATTGGTATCTGTCAAAAGGCGAATGTGTCATGCATTGTGATGCGATTCAGTTGGTCGTCTCCATCGAAACCACCGATTGCAACATTCAACGCAATATGATATGGAACGAGTCATACCATTCACACACACACATATCTATTGTGTGAATTCAATTTTCACATGAATTTTTAAGCACCCTCAATCCGTCCAAAAATAGACAACAATCTGGTTCAATAACGATAAAAACAACAGATAATTGTGTCAATGTAATTCTCGCTACTTTTGGTCTAGATCACCTTGAACGAAATACCTAAATACTTACAGCCGGAGTACTTAAGCGCAATTTGATCAAAATTCACAGATACAAAAATGCTCAACTATTTAACGGTTAAAATTCAGAGACTTTATTTTTATATTGCATTATAATCATTTGCCATATAATCTCTTTATTGATCTATTGCTGAAGATATTAACATTTTAATTATGTATGTTTGTTGCAGTCTACAATATGGTGGAACTGAACTGAACGGAACTGAATTGAAATGAATTGAACAACGTTATTTTCTTTTACTAGAACAATAAGAACATATGTTGGATGGTGCAAATTTTGTGCTGCCTGTTAGAAACGAATCTAAAGAAATTGCGTATTTCAATATATGAATATGCGAAGCTTATATTCCCTTTTATTTGGTGGGGTGGTAGTGTTGTGACCTTCGTAATCAACAAGTCTTTGAATTGAATTTATAATTCATCTTCTTCTTCTTCCTCTTGTAAACGTGATATATCCGATTTGTTCATGAAATAGTAGCTCGGTTGACGTCCTTTCAGATCTTTGAGCACACGTTTAGCGCCGTTCTTGATTAGAATTCTGCTTTGAGTTTCCACCGAGCTCACGCCCATCGCGTAATGCAATGCAGTTCGTTCAAGCTATATGTCAATCAATCGTTCATAGTTTTATTAAAAGTGAATCAATCCAATATTTATTGAGACCATTTCTAGATATATTTATGTCGCAAATGCTTACATTATCACCGATATGTAGAGTTTGCTTGATATTCGTTGCCAAATACTGTACGATTTCCTCCTTTTCCTTCAGTACGGCAATATGTAAAGCCGTTCGACCTACGAGCAAAATACATAAGTTGATTGATTGTTTTAATTGTCATTCGATGATTAATTGCCAGAAGATTTTCAAACGATACCGTTGAAATCGATAATTTAGTCATTATATTTGATCATTAATTTATTATGTGCACTACAAGGTGTAGGAGCACTATGTGTACTATAAGCCGTATCGAAATGAAAACAACTGTCGCAATGCATGTTTTTCCAAAATACAAACCGTAATAGTTTTTAGCTTTCGCGAGGAATGGCCCTTCGGGTAACTCAATAAGTTGTCTCACGGCGCGTATGTCACCAGACCTTATCGAACGATGCAATTTTTCCCGGTTCGTCTGTGTGGGAGAATGAACATTCATTACATGTGGCTTAGGAGATTATTGCTGTTTTTGGTGTTTTTTATTTCAATGAACAAACCTCGAAAGCTGGTATGCCTTCCAGATATTGGCCCAGTTCTTCAAATCCCCGAGCATACGCAATCTGAACAATCGACTCATCATCATGAACGTCAACAATATGATCGTAGCCTTCGACGACTAGATGCTTAAATGCATTTAGCTCGCCTACGCAATTAAAATCGAAATAATTGAATTACGAGAAAAAAAATCAACAAAAAATGAATGTAATCACCTCGTGCAGCGAGACTGAGAACATATTTATCGATTTCACGTGTGTTCTCCGGCTGTGTGGCCTGCATTGAAACATCTCTAGCTGTTCGGTATAATTCATCACGATAGGCAATGCTAACGCCTGAATCTTCAATCAATTGAATCAATGCGTTGCGTCCGTGCGAACGTGCGCATGCAAAGTGCAACACACTCTGTCCGTGTTCGTCCTGAAATCGAAAAAAATGAAACATATTGGGTTTTAATTGGTGTATCTCCCGATGGAATGAACGTTGAAACAGAAGGCTTTTTTACTCGTTCATCACTAGTTGCTGCAGGTTCTGGCGCATTACTCGCCGATATGTTTTCATCATCGATCTCATCATATTGAGATAGGTCCATTTTGCGCGGCGGTGGTCTTGCTTTTGGTTGTTGAATCTCCTCTTCTTCTTGATTATTCGGCTGCTGCTGCTTCTGCTTCTGAATAGGTGGCTGTTGAGTTTGTGGTTTCGATTGTAATTGAGCCTGTTGTTTCTGCTGTTGTTTTTCTTGATCTTCCTTTCGCACGTCCGGTTGATTGTTTATCTGTCAAATACATTTTAATACGTCAATCAATGCGGCAACCATACTAAAATGTCGGCAAAAGGGTGCGTAAAAACAAGAAATTACAATTTTCTTATTGTCTGCAATGCAGTGCAAATAATCTGCTAAGAATTTTACCGGATCGGCTGGTCGACTGTTTGCTACTTCTGTAAGTCCTTTAATCAGTGGATCACCTAAAGCTGTGTGTGGGTGTGTGTGTGTGTATAATGAAATATGAAGTGAGTTTAATTTGGTTCAGCCAATCGAACAAATTGCGTTTCCGCCAATTTCTTCTTAGCCAATTTTCAATGGAGAACGACATTTACTTGCGGCTAAATATCGTCCTTCGTCCGTTTGAAATAGTGGTGTTCCTGTTTGTTTCTCCTCTATTGGTTTGTCTGCAAAATTAATACAATTGACGTGTGAGTGAATCCCTTCTCCATGCTTCAATGAAAAGCAAACCAAAAAGACACGCACACACACACACACGGATTATTTGCATCGCATAATGCGTGGGAGGGAAAAATTCAAACAAACAAAAGAAAAAAAACGGTTTACAAGCTAAATGGCTCGGGAGTTTACAAAAAAGAATTGTCTTATCAAATCATTTTCACTATGTCATCTAGTTGAACAAAAGGAAAAATATTGAACAAAAATCGGGATGCACCTTAATTTCACAAACCAGCAAAAATCACATCAATTTTGGAAATTTTGGATTTGTTCGGATTCAGAGTCATATTTTGTTTATGCATATCCTGTCACGGTTCGTCGCTCATTTTATTTTTTTAAACGCATTTTGTTCTGTTGGAAAGATTTTTTTTTGCGATTCAAATACTGACACAGACTATAATAAGTGTACATAATTGATAAATGTCACACTGAACATGAGAGATACATAGAAACAACAAAAAGCGAATAGAAAAAAAATCACAAATGCATATTCCATAGGAACGAACGACAAACCCGATACAAATCATGTTTCCAAAATGAAAATTGTTCTTTTTTTGCCTTGCAAAATATGTACGCAAGTGCGAGAGAAATTGGTTTTTGAGATAGAATTCAGATTGTTGATTTCTTTTTTGTTTAGATTTTTTGTTGGTTTTGAAAAGCATTTGGTGGTGCAGAATAGATGGGTCATAGAGAAGACTGATTGTGTTTGCTTGTGATGGAAAAAGCGATGTCTTTTTTTCTATTTTAATAAATTTTTTGCTTTTTTTTGGTTTGTTATCGACAGATTTTTTGGTGCACAAAGCCAGAAAAAGAATTTAAGCAATATTACTAACCTAAGACCAAGGCCGAAGGTTGATGATCGATATATATTTTTTTTTTAATAGATAAAAAAACGATTCTGCTTTTTTTTGTGCGCTCGTGCTGTATTGTTTGTAATGAGTATTTTGCCGTTAGTTGTGGATCGGATCGAATTTCGTTTTTTTTTTCTGAGCTTATGGAAATGTTTGTGATTGATTTGAGTTTATATACGAGAGTTTTAAGTTTTTCGAATCGTTACGAAAATCTTTCCAACGGATACTTATTAAAAAAAAAAAACATTTTTTTTGTCACGTTACATTTTCTGGGCACTGAAAATCTTTTCTATCGTCAATTCACGTCCGTATTTTTTCTTCGTTTTTTGCACAAGTTCGATTGAATTTAGTCCAAATAGTTGCAATTAATGAGTTTTTCTACAGAACTATTTTGGCTTCGAATTGTTTTTGGCTTTGAATTGTTTTTTGTTGTTGTTGATTTTCAATGAATATTCACAAATGATTTTCGCGTGCACTAACTGGTGTCGGTGTCAAAACTGTTTCGTTTCTTTCGAAATATGCTCATAAGCATGCTGGCTATGTGATTGCTACTATCAATCGATAGGTCCTTTTCTAATTGAATAATGTTGGCAACGGCGGTACAAAAATCTTGGAAAATTTTCCACTCAGTCACGGATAGGGCTTGTAGATTCGATACACGTATATACGTTGAATTGAGTGGCAATGACATTCGTAAACCGCGAACATTGCATAAATGCTGCAGATTATCCGGTTCTTTGATCAAATGTGGCAAATCCAATGTCAAATAAATGCGTAAAGATGTACCAAGAAAACTGGGCCGAGCAGCCAGATAGCCCAAAAAGTAACTATTTCGAAATTCAATTTGTTCCGTTAAGTACATGATGGCTTTTCCGATTTTCACATAGGTTCGACCAATGTTGGCCGAAGTATTGCTGTTTGTACAGCATAAAATGCGTAAATGTTCTTGGCAATTGATCCATGCCACAAAATCGTAAGAGGCATTCACAAAAACTCCACGGCCATATGGCCAAAATCGTCCGTTGATTGCAATCGATTCGGCTTTTTGATATGGATCATCGTTGCTCAGCAGTGGAATTAAAAGTCCTTTTGCCGCTAAAATTGTACGAATTTCCGATCCGTTTTCGAGCACTTCGTTCATTGTATAATAGACACCCAATTCCTTTTCTTCGATGGTTCGCGAGAAATCGGTGCTTAACAATCGTGCCGTAATTATTCGTTCGACTTGTTCCAATGGGCCAACGGTTAAATTCAACGGTAATTCGAATCGTTCCAGGTTACGACTCACTTCGATTACACAGGCCCGCACATATTTGTTACCTTTATCCAAATTTATGCCCGCTATTTCGTTCGATGTGTCGACGTCAACATTTTCGCTGAGAGTGTTCTCGTTGTGTCTATTTGCGGGAAAGTATTGCGTTTCGGGATGCGGATGAAAGTCACTGTTTATATCGATGCAATGTAAATCTTTGATAAGTGGCACGAGGAATTCTTGGAAAACGACAAACACATCCAAATCGGGTGCGACAATTCCACCGTCCGTGCTCAATTCAAATTCGGGGTTCGAGCTGAGCGTGTTGCGCTTTTTCATTGCCGGCCAAATTACATCGAATAAATTGTGATCGATGCGTGTTTGGCGCGCCTTGATTTTATCGAAAATGCTGCGCTTCAAGAACCGCGCTAAATAGGCTTTCGACGATATACGTGACGCAGATGTTGCACTGCCTGGTACACTTTTCGGATGTAATTTTCTCGGAACACTTTCCACTGAATTGTTACCCGCTGGCTTGGATGCATCATGAATGATGCGAAAGCATCGCTCTAATGTGCTCAGCACATCGATATCGTCGATTTCACGTCGTGCACTATGCAAGTCATCCGGTACTATATTTTTGTTTGTTTTTTTCATGAAGGTATTTTAGTTGGTTGATTTTTTTTTTTACATTTCAGTCCAATTTGTATTTTTTTGCACATTTTTTTTTATTCACAAAAATATTGCAAAAAACAAAAAGCCACAAAAGAAACGTGTGATATGCACAAAAGAAATTAAAAAGATCAATAACTGTTCTTTTGTATTGTTTGTTTTGAGTCTAACACCTTAATGATTTTGTCTAGTGAACTTTTATGCGTGCGATGAGATGACAGATTGGTGCTGAAGTGACACTTTCCAAACAGTCGTGATGCTGATGATGAACTGTTCACAGTTCGAAACGCATTCAGGTGTGTTCAAATAATTTATTATTTGTCAATTTTGTTAAATCATTAAGGAGTTAGACTCAAAACAAACAATATTTATTGGATTTCACGTCTGATTCCAAAACAATAAGTCAACTGTTCTTTTGGTTGAAAGAAATCGAATTTCGGTTTAAATAAAATATAGAGAAGAGATAGAGAGAGAGAGAGAGAGAGAGAGAGAGAGAGAAAGAGAGAAAGAGAAGAAAGAAGAAAAAGAATGAAATTCACCTTGATCATTTAGCATGCCATCCGCAGCCGAACTAGCTACGCCAAATTGTCGCAGCAACTCAGCATGAGATAAAATTTTATCCGTTTTATCGTGGTCCAAATAGAATTCAGCGTTATGACCCAACTGAAAATGAATCCAATTCCGTAATGAGACGTACCCAAAATGGAGCGTGTGTATTCACCGCGTTTTGATATGCGAGTAAATTGGTTTTTCGATCGTTACCTTGTCGATGGCATTCGGATTCGATCCTAAATGAACTAACAAATTATAAAAGTGTCCGTTGTCTTTTATAGTGGCCGCATAATGCAGTGCGGTCCGCCCGTTCTCGTCAACCGACGACGTTGTTTCAGGGAAACGACCACCCAAATACCGTAAAATACCTATGTAAATAAATAGAAATATACACATCGACACTCAAACCAAACACATTCATGGCGTACATGGCTTGAACCATTACTGAATGCAATTTTAATAACGTGACTCGAAAAATAATTTATGCAAAAATTCATTAGCCTGCCTTGCACTGTTGGCATCCAATTGTTTATTGAGGTAATCAATTTTGAAATGGACAGTGTCGACGAAATGGACAGTAATGACAAGCACATCGCACCGAAGCACAAAACCCATTTTCCCAATGAAATGTGATCGTACAAACGAAGCGATATTTTTTTTGTTTTTCATTCACTTTCTATTTGAATTAATCGATTACATGAAAAATGCACGGCATTCATTAGAATTTTTGCTTCGTTTTCGGGTGAAGGGACAGTGAGAGAGTGAGAGAGAAGAGCGATGAATACACATACTTGCGTGGCCAAAAATGGTGGCAACATGAATGGGCGTGCACTTGCCCGGTGAACAATCATCTTTGGCAATGGCGAATTTGCGTCGATCCAACGCTGACTGTAAATCACGTAAGCTTCCTTCGCGAGCCGCAACATGAACGCGACGAATTTTGTTCTGATGAAGGACGGGGGAGAAAAATGGAAACCCAAATCATCAACATGAAATTCAACACAACGCTAATGTGTAATCGGAACATTTAGAATGGGATATGAATACCATGTACGCTGGCACATTGTCGATAAAAGCTTGAATTTCGGGCTGGCTCGATTTGGAGCCAATCAAATATTGACCATCACCATTCAACACCATCGCAGCCAGTTGTTCCATGTCCTGTTTGTCAATTATCGACTGAGCGCGCATGTAATTCTAGCAATAGATAAAATACAAATTGAGCAAACTGAACATTTGAACGCTTTGTGATTATCATTCAATTGTGCCATATCATTTGCGATGCATTTATTCGAACGTTTCTTTTATTATTATTATACACCTCAAAGGAGAAAAAACCAAAATTGATTCAGAAACAGAAAAAAAACCATTTGAAATGCAAACAACAAATTCCGTGCAAAAAATTTTGGATTGAAAAATCGTGTCGAACCAATATGGATATACGAAAAGCAGATATTGTATGTGTAAGCATTTAGAAATTCGACTTGCATACTTTATTGTCGTTATTGTCGATGGCGCTGAAGCGGCTAGCGGATTGAACGACGTTGTTGTCGGCTTCGCCATGAACAATTCCCTCAATTTCCATAACCGGATCATTGGCGTCTTTTGCATTTGATTCGTCGTTTGTTTCAGCATTTTCGGACGTTTCATTTTCGACTGGTTCAGGTGCCGTTTTGTTTTCCTCGTTATTGTTAGTTTCTTCTTGTGGTTGTTGGTGTTCTTCTTGTTCCTCTTGATTCGTATCGGTCGTATCATTATCATGTTGCTCTGCCTGAATCAAATACGATTTGATGGGTTTTATATGGCAGTATATTCAGTGTTTTTTTTTCTTCTTCTGTATTGACTAAAAGCATATTGATGATCTAGGCAATTTCATTGCGAATAGTGTTGGCTAACAGCTAAGTGGATGCGATGTGTGTGTTATTATCCAAAAAGAAAAACAATTTTCAACTATGGAAAAACTCAGCTCCTTTTTCTCTGAACTCTAAACACATTGCTCTAAATTTGAGACGAGTTTCCTTCATAATTATATTAACCTACTGAACATTCAGCACGCATAGCAACGGTTTGCAGCTCTATGATAAATAGCGTTGGTGCGGACACAATTCACAATTACAAAACAAACTACAGATACTGTATTGCTGGTTATCACTTAAAAATATATAAATATTCATAAAGTTTAGAATAAATATTGAGTAGAATAGAATTAAGGATTAAGAATTAAGAGTATACAAATGTGATTGACAACAATGGATTTAAGTTCATTGATTAAAAATGTCCAACCAAATCCCTTACCTCTTCAGTCGCATCATTTCCATCTGGTTCGTTTGTATTTTCAACTTCACCATATTCATCGTCGTTTCCGTTACCTTCGACATTTTCGCTTTCGGTTTCATTCTCTACGATTTCAGCTTCTTTATTCGTCTCTTCAACGCTTTCCATGGGCTCTGCACCGTCTGCCTGACCTTCTTCAATCTTCTGACTCTGATTACTTTGCGCTGACCCCTTTCGACTTGCTGCACTACTCACATTACTGCGTCGAGATTTTGCCGATGCAACACTTTTCGTACTGATCGCTGCTGAATTTGGTTTGCTTGGTACTTCCGCAGTGCCTGGCTTCGAACCATTCTCACTTCCATTTTCGAATGTCATGGATTTCGTAGAACGCGTACTTTTTGCACTCGTTGCATTCGCTGCACTAGTTGCACTCGCTGTGCTCTTCGCACTCTTTGCACTCGTTGCACTCGTTGCGCTTTTTGCACTCTTTGTACTCTTCGCACTCTGTGCACTTCGCAAACTGGCAGCCGAGTTTTGAGTCTTAGCCGACGATTTTGTACTCATTGCCATACCTGGTTTCGAATTCATTGGCACTTCTTCTTCATACTCTAGATCAGGCACATCGTCCATATCATTGAAATTCTCAATTTCTGATGCTTCAATGGTTGTTATATGATTATCATCGTCCTCAGCATCGTGTGGTTGATGTTCAATACCTTCGTGCTCGTCATTCATATTCTGTTCATTGGGATCATCTCCGTGATCGATGATTAAAATCTCGCGATTTTCAGCACTATCTATGCGCTCATCTACTCGAGGCGATTGATGCTCACTCGTAATGGGTGATTCTTCATTTTTCCCATTTTCCTCTTGGTCTTCGTCATTGTGGTCGCCGCCGTTTTGCATTTCATTTGATTCCTCCCCATTCTCGATGTCAGCTTCGGGCTGCTCTTCGTCATTTTGTGAATCAGCCTCATCTCCGCTTTGCAAATCGGCTTCTTCGTGATCACCATTTTCCTCTGGTTCAGCTTCATCTTCTTCTTGTGCATCTCCATTTTCCATTTCGGTTTGATTGTCTGCATCGGCATCGGTATCGGCGTCGGCGTCGGCATCGGCATCGGCATCGTTCTGGAAAATAAACTTAATTTGCAGCAAAACCGAGACTAGACTGATTCAATTATTTAAATAAACGCTTTTGAGCCGTTGCATATTTTAGTAGACTGTACAAATGAACCGCTTGACACTGGCTTAACTAAAATATTACGATCGGCCCAAAAACATGTATGTAGAATGAATGAAAATTGACGATAAAAAGTTTTTTTTTGTGATATTTATACTTGTTTGATAGCAAATTAAATTATTTGGTTTTGTTTAGTTTTGTTTAGTTTTGTTGTTGTATGGTGACAGAGAAACTTACATTCCAGCTGGATGAGACGAGGTTGTGCGATGAATTGATAATGGATGGATTTTATTTTCTGCTTTATGAAAAACTAATTAGTAGTAACTAAATAGTAAATAATTGAAATTATTTCTTCAAATCAACACACGATTGTGTTGAACCATTCAATTTGAATGCACGGAATTGCACAGACAGTATTAGTTATTCGTAATCTAGATTACTTAATTCCCACACAAAACAGAAATTTTCTTCTTCTTTTTTTCAATGGGAATTTATATGTATACTTTGCCATAAGTGCAACACAGCTCTCGTGAAATGTGTTGCGACTAGTGTGACATATGAAGTTAAATATTCTTTGGTGCAAGTGCATGTGCAACAACTAAATTCACACATTTTTTTTTCAATTGTTCGAATATCAACGCTTTTAGGATCGAACCGAATCGATTGATTGGAACATCGTTTTAGAGTCTTACTTGTTCAGGATTTTCCGTTGATTCATCATTTTCTTCGAGTCCATTGCCATTGCCATTTTCAACGTCATGTGATTCGTCCGGCTCTGCTTCGGGTTCAGCTACTTCGTTTTCATTTTCAGCTGCAATTCCAATTGGATTTTAAACAGTTTTTGGGACAATTATTTGATAAATGAATTAGGCTTTTATTGATTCAAATATGGATAAACGTGGTTCTTTACACACACAAAAACATACACGTATATGTACAAATATAGGACAAATCAATTAAACAATTAAAATTCATTTACGTTCATCGCTTTGATCCATTGTTTCGTGGTTTTCATCACCGTTTTCGTTATCGCCCTTCCCATTTACCTCCGGTTCGCCATCGTCCATCGTTTCAATTTCATTTTGCATTTCAGCGTCATTCGATTCGGATTCATCGTCTCGCATGTTGGGAATCAGTTCGGCCGAACCATGATTACGATCGTCGCTCCCAACCAACGTATTGAAGCTGCCATAAGTTGAATGACTCTTTCGGACAAAATTCTACAACACATCGAATAAAATATTAAACCAACGGCTAATCATGAGAATGTCATTAACTATCTTCCATCGGAGGTGTATAACATGGCGTCAATGGGTTCAACATACATTTCTGATGAGTTGATAGTTGTGCTCTTCGTCGAACATTGCCCAATCGTAGTTCGGCGGTAAGCCGGACTGTGGAACTCGTGGTGACTCAGGTATAACCGTTAAAAATGACTTATGCAGTTCACTTGATTTACTTCTGTAAAAGTTGGCCGTTTTCATTCGCTGTTTTATCGGAGTACAGTTGGGGTCAAGGTGATAGGGGAGAAAACCAAATCAAATGTATACAGTGAATAATAAATTATATTAGAAATTGTTATTCATAAAATAAAATAATCAACAAAGAAGCATACATAATCACAGGCAAGCTCATCAGCACCAGCTTGGACAAGTTTATTGTAAATTTCGAGTGTGCTAGCCCAATGCAGTGGAGTTTTGCCGGTGGCATCGATGTCGGTAGCGGTCGATGGGCTCATTCGTAGAATGTATTCGACGATGGCCAGATGACCCAAGCCGGCTGCTTTGTGCAGTGGCGTTAGACCATTCACATCTTTGCTCGACAGCAATCCTTTCGGTACCGGTGGCGACGTTATGTTAATCAGTTCATCCAAATTATTTTCCACGACAGCGGTATGCGTTTGTTTTATCACATTCTGTTTGCGATACAACCGAAAGAAAAAGTGAATCAGACCAATAAAAAAAAAATTGAATTTTCTATTTTCAAATCCAACAAAAAAAATGGAAAAGGTCATTAATGCTCTTCTGCTCTCACCATGACATACGGAACGGCGTCCAAAAATTTCTTAACGCGATTGTTCGAACAAATTTCGGTGCGTAGACGATTGCCTTGACCTTCCCATAGAACCTGTGTTAACTTGCCGATGTCTTTATCATGGATCCAAATTCGTATGTTCGATGGCTTGATAACAATGGCTATAACAATTATTAGAACGACAATCAAAAATAACAAAGTAAATCACACATGTTTGTGTGTGTCTGAGTGTGTATCGATTTCATTGAGACAATTTTCCTTCTCTCTTTCTCTCTTTGGTGATGGTGCATTTTCAGTTCAACATCGAAAGAAAAATGAAAGTGAACGCCGACACCATCGTGCCACATTACACTTATAAAAACATTCAAACACCTGATTAGGTGACACGAATCGACGAAACCAAAATATCGATCGGCCAATCAATCCATCGCCATTCGTCATACACCGCAATAAGGCGAGCACAACAACAGCAACCGACAACTCTTATGGAATTCGAATGGCATTAATAAAATAGTCATAAGGTCATGATTAACACATTGCAACCGGTGATGAGCAACAAAGAAATGCGAAGAGAGAGAGAGAGAGAGAAAGAGAGAAAAGGAGAGAGAAAGGACTACAAAAATACATCGACCTCTTCGGAAATTGAAATTCAGGCTATGTTTGATAAAAAAATAAACCAACAACGACATAGCCTACATATTTTGGCTGAGTTCACAGTTTTGCCATGTGTCAGTTGGCTCATGTTCACGCAAAAGTGGAATTTAGTTCATCAAAAGCCGAATTCACCCGAAAGATTGGTGCATGCAAACGACCATCAACCGGCGAAACATCTACTCAAGTGTCGCAATCAACGTAATCATCATTCACACTATTATTATCATCTGGGGATGAATTAAATGGGGCACACGCTTTGACCAATATTTGTTTGCATAATTGTCGTGTTGTGAAGCGTTTCCTTTTTATGCTTTTTTTTCTCACTCTTCGTTTCGTTTAATTTTTAATTCTCATTTTGAATTGCATTATATCTTTGTAGTTGCAAAGTGTTGAACATCAGCTGCATTGAAGCCGCAGAGTTCAATGAATTACCTTCTCTTGTTGTCTCATTGTCCTGACCGCGTGCTTTCATCGTCACAACTGAAATTAAAGTTTAACACAAATGATCAATTGTTTATATTATTGATTTAACCTATGAAAATTGGAACCAAGTTGATCCAAACGTCTTCTTTGTGTTGTCCATTTTATTTCGAATTTAAAATATATGTAATCAAACATTCATTCTATCTAATTGCGATGAATTCATTCCATCACCATAACAGTGCATGCATGTATTAACGTGGCACAAAAACGACGAATAAACACAAAAAATCGACGTCAAATTGATTAAAAATTCTGAATAAAAAAAAATATCGACCTAGTTTGAGCTTAGCTTTCAACTTCTGAAAAATGTCTATGCTCCAAGTGTTCGATAATTTTTGTATCGGTTATGAATTATTTATGGAATGGATAGCCCTGACAATGTGATTTTATTTCGAAGAAATGTAAAACGTATCCGGCATGATATTGGCTACCACCCGATGATACATTGATACCACTATAAAACATACAGAAGCGTTTCCAGATTCTTGAATTTTGTTTTCCACCTGAATGACGCACATCTTTGCTATATCACTATTGCGATGTACAATTGCAACATTGACCGCATTTTACAACTCAATTTCGTTCAATCGGTCTGGTGGGTCGGTTGCTTGTATTGAGTGTGTTATTCACAATATATTAATAATTACCGTCCAATGTTGACGACATATACCAAGTTGTGCAGATGAAAGTGGTTAAAAAAACGAAAATGGTGCTCCAATCGACATGAAATACAATTCACGTACTTGCTGCTTTTTTATTCGAATTTTCCGAAAAAATTCCACTCGCTGTGTCGTACTTCTAATTTCTCACTTGTTTACTCTCTCGCCGATTGAATTACGCTTCCAACAGTATAACTTCTCTTCTGATAGGAGAGTATATGGTGAATGTTTGTAATGGATTTTTGGGAAAAGCTTTTTCACTGTGTATAGACCAACTCTTACCACCTTTCGAATGCTTCTGAAACGCTTTTTTCATTTCCATTTCAAACGGAAACGATATTCGAAATTAATCAAACGTGCATCGCATCCACAGACACACATATCGGGGTGTGTAGCAGGGAAAGGAAACCACACACGCAACACTTGATTTATAAATGAAAATATTTACATCGGTGTATATGAGAGCTTTTAGTTCGAATAACAGAAGATATATATTAACATTTTATCAACATGTAAATTCCATAGGGTGGAAAAATTTACGCAAATAACCAACTAACTAATCAAACAACTGACACAGTGTGCGCGCTTGATATGCGGAGGTTGGTTATCACAATTACTATATGTTTACCTCGCCACAGAAATTCAAATACGTGGCAATCAGATCGACTCAATCAAATATTTTAAATCCAGCGGACAGCATTTAGAAAATATCGAAACTTGTTTGAACAAAATCCCCTCTAAAAACGATTAATTTATGAATACTGTACTGACTTTAATGGACTGCGTTGAAATCATAAAGTATAACGATTTGGGTGTTGTCAGCTAATTACAACTGAAATCGGTCAGAACAAAAAGAAAAAAAAATAGAAAAAAGACTAAGAATAGTATCCGTTCAATATTTTAATTGTTTTTCCGAAGACATTGCCCCTTGACCACCCTGTGATTCCGTTTATTGCTCTCTGTTCGACTTTAATCATGTCTCTTGCATGTATTCGTTTTTTCATTTTGATCTATTTTCAAACACCGAAACTGGATCACATTCAATGGTGTTTATGGAAATGTCAATTTTTTTTTAAGTGAATCCATGTACGCAATACTTGTACTGTCACATAATAAATTGATTGACTAACTTACTCAAATGGGTGGTTACATTGCATGAGATTATCATGTCTTTTCGTACTAAGTTCATTTGAGCAATGTGGGAATATTAAACTGTATGGACGTTGTCATTGCATTTGGAATGATTTTCTTCGAAAGATTTTCATCGCAATTTGGGTAATTTCCATTGCCATATTCATTCCAAAATGCTGACACAATCTGGAAGGGAATCTATTGACTTTTTCGAAATGAAAACAGAGATCCGAATCGATGATAAACAAATCCGAATCGATAAACAGAAAATCGATTTGGCCAGGAGACTATTTACGGATATTCGTTACCCGTGAATCTACACGTATGAACAGATATTTTCCCGTGATGAACATTTTCAGTCGAAGAATTTCACAATTTTGAAATGGTGTTTCAAGTGAATGGAAAAAAAAGTGAACGGTTCAAAAAACCTAAGTGAAATCAAATATGACACGCAAACTATATTTGCATCATTTTGCACACGAAAGAAAAAAAACAGGTGTTTAATATTCAATAATGTTCTCAGTCGAATACTGGCTCGTGTGTTTGTGTGTGAAATGTTGAATGGAGCTAAGAAATCGACAGGGGAAAAAAGAAGAATCAACAATAGCAGCCAATTGTTGTAATATGCCTAATCATGATGGACTGTTCACAAAGGAAACCGTTTAAAGTTGACGTGAAAACACTTTGTTTATTTTCACATGACTGTTCACTGCATCGTGCATATTTCCACCCTCTCCGATTTTCACGTGTGAATAACAAAGCGTCATCGTGTTCATTTTGACTGGGAATTTTCAAAGTTTCGGGAAAAATGAAAGCGCAATTGGTTCATCCAAGTGCTCGATTCGATCCGCGCAACTGGCAAACCCAAAACTTGCCAACCGCCCATCCGCCTGCTTGCCTAACCAACCAACAATCACGGTGTGTGTTTGTGCCACGTTCAACAGCAATAGAAAATTGTGTTGTATGAATTAACATTTCACTTACCTCGTGGCGCAGATGAATGAAAATACAAACCATGAAATTTTCGGCGTCGAATCGGCATTTTGTCAAAAGGAAACTATTTACTAATTTATGTGGAATATAACGTTATTCTTTGATGATTCGTTCACAAACAATTTACAAATATTTACAATATTTCAAACATTTTTCTTGTTCCGAATAGAAAACTCGTTTTTTTTATCACGATTTTATTTGATTAAATTTATTGAATTCTGTGGAGTATAAAACAGAAATAAAAAAAAAATATTCACTAATTTTTCGTATTACGTGTTATTATTCAACAATGATGTGCATTCAACAATTGTTTAATCGAGGGAATTTAATTTGACGAACGAACGAAACCGAACACAAAAACCAAAGAATAAAAAAGCAAAACAATTTTTATGGTTAACACGATATTCACGATATGGTGGATAAACGATGAATGATATCTGCTATCGAATGGTCACAACAGATTTGATCAAGTCTGTTCGATTTCAAAATGGATAATACGTAATGATGATTCATGGAGATACAACTCGGAGCGGATTGAATTTTATTGGTAAAATTATGGGAAAAATCACAG